TCGAAACAAAATACGCAAGAGGTAGAATTATTCGCGTATTATTCAGTTCAGAGTTTAGTAAGATTATATAATCTGGAAGAAGTTGCATTTTCTTCTTAATTTAATGCTAATGTACAAATTTTATTTCGTTACAGTTAAAATAAAAATTTCAATTTAATGTAAGTTCCGCTGGACAAACATTCCTCAGGAAAGAAACGAATTACGGAATTGAAAAAATTATATCTAATAAAAGTTGTAGGAAAACGTTGAAATCTAAACTTTAATAACATATGTAAATAAAGTACATAATAAAATGAAAAGTAAAAAAATAAAGTTAAAACATCTTGATTGAGTGAATCAGAAGTTATTAACTTAAATTATCGAAAGATATGTAGGTTACGTTGATCATTTTAATATACTTCAGTCATATTTCTTTCTTAATGGATGCCTCTCCGTATAATTAGGATTAATACGTTTCCATGATTAGAATAATGACTTTTATTCGATTTGTCTCGCTTATAACGGCGGAAACAGACTATTCGAACGTATGGACAACAAATTAGAAAGATCGTTATTATATTTTGACGCATTTCCTCGGGGAATAGAAAGTTCTCAACTTGCTAACGAGCTTTTTCGAAAAATTGAACAAGTGGTCTAGATCGCGCTTACACGATAATTATGCGAAATTAGATGAGCAATTAGACAGATTCGTCGCGATAGCGTGAATGAAGGACGATTGTGTGCTCTTCTGGGAAACGGAAAAAACGCGCAGGGTTATGCAATTCACGTTCGGGGATTCGCAGGATTGAAGAAAATTACGCCGCTTAGATGCAAGGCACGCCGCAACGCTTTAATGACATTGGCGGACCGCGCGTCGCGACCGAGGAATCGCCACGGTGATCATCGTAGCATTGATTATTGTTGAGATCACAGATTGCTCTCCGTTTAATTCTTTCATCTTTCGCAACGACTTCTAACAATGACGCTAATAAATCACGCGCGCATTACTGCGCGAGCAAGGAAAAGCTCCATCTCTGAAAAGATCAAATTCCGAGGCAACTTTTAGATGCCTTGTAGGTGCACAAAGTGACTCACTTAACTTTAATTATTTCTTTTCCTCGCGTATTTTTAGGAATGTTCATTTTTAAACCTTTTCTTTTCAGTTTAACACTGAGAAAAAGTTCCATCGGATAAACCAATCGAATAAGTGTTTCTCATGGTTAAGTTTTCCGAATAAATTATGTATACATCCGATGAAATTTGATCGAAAAACCGATCGTATCTTTTATCGAGTGTACAATTTACTCGGATATTTTTCTCAGTGAAGACGCTCGCTAAATGAAATCGAGCAAACTATATTATACAACTGTAGGGACAGAAATTGTGTCTTTCATTTAAACTATGCAGTTTAAGTTTCGACCAATGGAAAATCTCCCCTGAAATTATTATTTACCTACATGCTGTATGGAAAAGTTTAATTTAATCGGCTTGCGTCGCCGTGCAAATATATCGTGCACATGTTCGCTTATAAATTATATCCCGCACGATCATCTGTCTGGCCGGTCTGATTAATCGCGCTTGCGATTTACTAGTGTTGCGAAAGTGTGACAGCGGTCGATCTAGAGGAATATCATTTCTCTTGGTCATAATCATTTGTTTAAGTAGATCTTTAATTTACGTTTTAATGGCTGATAAAAAATCGTAGCAATTATTCTGGACTTTTTTCTTTTACACGCCAATTTTATATGGCAATTTATTATTACGTTCAAATCGATCTGAACGATTCTCCGAACTGAGTAATAAAATAAAATTGGAAAACAATTATTAAATGAATCCTTCTTGGGCAAATTTTGAAATAATTATTAATATTAAAATCTATGTTAAAATGTAAATGTTAAGCATTGAGATGCGAACTGTGAAATACATAGAAAACTCGTGTACATGGTGAAAATAAATATTATATAATATTATACATATAATATTTTAATGAAGGTTGATATAAATGCAAACTGTTAAAGTAACAGTTTGCTATGTTTATTTTAATTTCCGGAATTATCGTTATATTTTATATTTTAATAACTAAAGAGTCACTGAAATGACGATGTAAATTTTTACTGTAAAGAAGAATCTACTTCGCACAGTCCAAGGAATTTATCCTCCAAACGTATCCCGTACGTTACGATACGGCGTGTATAGCAGAACGATGCGTAGTAAAGGATAATAATTGAATGCCGGAAATTGTTGGATCTCGACAAGCGATCATTTGTGATGCGAAACAAAAAGTACCGTGAGAAATCTCGTCTACCGACACTGGCGTTACTGTAATTTTTTTGTTACGATCGCGCATCGACAAAATCCTTGGTAAAATTCGCGAAATCACCTTCGTTATCGTAATTTTGAAAGGCACGCGTGTCATAAAATTGATTTACCTTTCAATTTGTTTAACTTCAGTTAATTCCGTTATACTGTTTTTTTGCACCTCGATGCAATTAAATAACAAAAGACGATTCTCCATGCGCAAATGCACAAATGGATTTCGCGAGAGATTTTTAATTTTAATTCGAGGTACGTCAAATTCCTCGTGTATTTGTTTCACTAATAAAACTTAATTGCGTCACGTTCCCAGAAGACTCGTAAAGCCGATTTTGCGCGACGAACCTGCGGTTTCGCGTCCACCGCAGATCGGGCAAACTTATCCGATTCGATTTCTTTTATCACGGAAGTTCAGTTCTTTGTAGGAGAATTCTGTCGGCGTGTCTAAGAATAATCTTGATGAAATAATTAATAGCACATCACTCGGCGAGAAGAATATTAACGGGACGAGAGAGATTAGAGTAATACGCGATTAAGGAACACCTTCCTCTTGCACGAAACAGTGAATCGACAGCACGTAAACACACATCATTGGATTATCGTGGTGATTATCGAGATCGTTAAGGTGCAATTTCTCGAACGCATAACATTAATAGCTGATGCTAATCGCGCGTGCAGAAGCCGTCGCTGCCGCGAGCTAGTCGTGAACACTGTAATTGTCGATGCATAGAAAATGAGGCACGCCAATGGCGTGGCGGAATGCAAAATTTTCCGCTCCGCACGACCGCCGTTTCCGGTCAAACACAGCCGAGATCGCTTTGTAAAGTAAATTTCATTTTCCTGTTCCGGAAACTTTGGGAAAAAAAAAGAGGAACTAAGAGAATAAGCCGCGAGAGAATAATTTCGCGAAATTTTAAAGAAATTTAGTATTTTATACAATCTCAATGATATCGGTGCTCGCATAAGATGCAAGGAAAAGTCTTATTGAATCCCGAGTTAATTCGTCGCGTTTTCGAAAATACGAGGAAAACGAGGTAAAATAAAAGACTATATAAAATGCGCAAGAGTTTCAGGGAAACAAGCGTCGCGTTTTGCTCGATAAGTACTATTGACTATTCTCGATAATTAGAGTGCGCTGCAAAGTGGAATGCAAATGTTTCATAACACGCTAATTTTACCCGAGGCCTCTTCGCCGATAGTAATTTCGCGAAATAAAGAATTTTATACAAATAAAAGAAAACCGAGGAAAATAAAAATTCAGGAAATACAATTTGTATTTTTCGCGTATTTTGGAAAATGCAACAACAAGCGATGAATTTTCGACATTTCGTTAATTTTTAAAATACAATTTAACGCGGCGATCTAAATCTGCTGTTCAATATCCGCGATTGTAAACTTATTGAAACACGGTTGTTCCATTTATTTGGAAATTCAATAAACTTCAACTTCAATAAAAATAAATTATATTCAATTACGGCGAATTTTCAGGCCCGCTTCTTTTCGTGAGTGGCACGTAAGTCGCGATCTGCCGAGAGCGATTTAAAGCGCTGCAAAATTAAACGTGAGGAGGACTGATACAGCTATGCCTGCCCGTCGATAAAATAGGAATTCATTGTGATCATAAATAAGTAATTAAATAATTAAATTAAAAATTACTGCAATAAAAATATTAGCAAATCGATTTAATCTGTCTATAATATTAATGTATTAAAAAACTCGGTAGAGATACTTAATTAGAAAACGCTTGTAAAAGTTCGAAGTGTCTCACTGATATAAATTAGAGTTTCTCTTTGTCGTAGATAAAAGTGTGTGACGATAGAAAGATTTATGGAAAAAGTAAGTTTATCGACACGCCACATAATCTAATAGACTTTACATTTTGTCTCCAATAGACTCATAGTTGTAAAACCTTCGCTTGCGATACCAGTGATCTTACACACAATTTCGTAGTGGCAGGATTAAGATTTAAGATCACAGCGAATTATTTACACTGTGTTGCCGCCGTTTTTATATGTTTAACCCTGGATTTTCCCGAGAGCTGAAGAACTTAATTGGACGGAAAATCGCCTCGTAATCCCTTTCTCAAGACACGACACGCCATTTAATTACATGTAATTGCATACCGATATGCAGCGGTGCGTTCATGCAGATACGTCATCGGCGAACGCCGCGCAAGATATTTTCCTGCCGGAAACGCATTCCTTTGTGTTTTCACATATATTTACGCACGCAAATGATTCGAAGAACTTCCGCGGGATTGATAAATGATACGATTTCCCGCAGAAAAACCGAAGCGTATCGTACCGCGGGCCGCGGTTCAGCTATTAAATCAATAACTCATCCGTAAATTCGGTTTAACATAGAATTATACGTAAGCGCCTTATTGAATCAAGCAAAATATAGCTTGGTCAGATTGGAAATAGTGACAGAATGTATATTAAAATAAATAATTGAATTTGAGCCTCGAAGAAATACGTCAGAAATACGTGCGTATCTTGTTTTTTACGCATTAAAATACAAGTTTCCCAGACAGCACACATGTCTAAAAGACATCTTTAAGACGTCTTTAAGTTGTCTTTTAGTCATGTACGTCTAAAAGATGTCTTAAAGCTATCTTTATGACGCCTTTTAGACATGTGTGCTGTCCGGGTTCTTTCTTTCGTTCTCCGCGAGAAGTTAAATGTGAAATAACATTGCAGCGGACTCACGTCGATATCGTTCCTGCTCAGGCGTATCCTCGTCCCCCTTGGGCAACGTTGATGCATGACGCTGTGCGCGATCGCTTTCCACGTACCCTTCGGGAAACACTGTGGAGGCGCTCATTCCGGGTTTCTGGAATCGCAGGATTTAATTATAATTATTAATTCCCGATTATCGAGTCAACAATTTTCTCAGGCGCTCCTATTATTCATCTCCTCTATTCGCAATCTTGGAATATTTCGAACGTTATTCATTCTCGAATGCTTTTCTACCCAGAAAGGATTTAATAAAGAGATAAAAATTTCTCTAGACCGAAGATATGTAAATGTTTCCCGCTGTGCACGCTCCATTACCATTTCTTTACTCCAACGACCCGTGAACTTCAGATTGCCTCTTCTCATATTGCGATGCGAAACGTTGCACGAGTGTGAATAGTGTGCTGGTGACGCAAACGGAAATAAGGAAACGGTGTAAATTAATAAAGGTACTGTGATTTATGGCGTGCGACTGGACGTTTGATCGCGACGTAACAATCTCCCGACCATTTCGCAGACCTCTCGCGACGTAACTGCATTCTTTATTGAGGTCCCGATCGCACGTATTAGAATGCATGCTAATTCGTCCTTTAAATTCGACTTCGTTAGCGCTTCCTTGTCAACTTTGTCATTGACCGTGCGTGCAAGTCGACGAACATTAAAAAATACTTTATAAAGTGGAGAATGAGAAATATTTTTCCGTGTTCTTACTGTTTGTAACTTAAACATTGACGTTCATTTTATTATTTAGCTCCGAAGAGCCTTTTGCCGAATCAAATATTATAATAATTTAATCACTAAGGGCCTAAACCGCAGGCCGAAACGTTGTGTTTTTGCCGAATAAGTTTTTTGCCAGCTTGGGGTCGACCTGTTATTCGATCTGTTACTTCTCTTTGTACGCGGCAAATAAATTATTAAAGTCAAATTTGCAAAAGTAATTATACAAATTGGAGGTCAATGTGCCCTTTGTAGTGAGAAATGAACGGGAGAGCAGCAGGAAAATTTTTATCCACGTAATATCGTCCTCATTCCACTTTATTATCTCGAAAATTACCATTATCCACACTCGAGTGGCTTTAGAGTTCGTTAGTTGCTTGGCGAAAACCAAGTTAACGTATGTCCTCTAGCTCGAAAAGTAGCCTCGTTTCTGTCATCGGAGAAACCGAAGACTAAGGAAATTTGCATAAATGTGTCAATCTTAGAAATTGCACGAATCGCGCCGAAAATTTGCATAAGTGGCGGTGCCGACGCTCTCCGCCTTCTTATTATCTTTGGTTGCAGACCTAAATCAGATACGTATACATATCGCGAGACACATAAACTCTGACTCAGAATTCACGTACGACGATAAGCCGCTACGTGCTGCTTTTATTGTCGCATCATAATTATCTCGGCCGCGTCAACGTCTACGAAAGTCGGCGTTCAAATAAAAGAGAGTAACTTAAGTATCTTTCGTTTGCGAAAGCTATGAAAATCGCGCACGAGTATGCGACAATAAAAACTGACGATATCGATTGCCCATTTTGACGTGCTGTCTTTACTACACAGTGAAACATTCATTTTCAATCTTACGTCTGTACTATTGAAATCATAATCGGCGATATTGCATGAACTGGGGAATTATTAATCATTTAGTGCCGAAAATAAATGCACCAATTGAGTGCATTCATACACGCAATACAATCGTAAATAAATGACAAGTACTTAATTTCTGTGAGTTCTCGAGTCATGCCTAACATTTTGAGCGAGAAGCTATTTATAAAACTCTAAAGTTACTCGTAGAAGATTGCGGGCGGAAGTAAAATTGGAGCAAAAGTTGAAACTGAAATATTTAATAAGCAACATTAAAATACGTAAGTTGTCAAGTTCTCATTCATGGACCTTGTGGCTCTCGTGGCTGTTGTCCAATCAGAAAAAGGAGAAACTTACCCCGAGACGCGCCAGACGGTTTAACCCAAATCTTCTGGCGGCCGTGTTGAAGACCAGGAATTCACGCCACAAGCTCGCGTAGGAGGTCCTCTTGCCATCAGGATGCGACATCTCTAGTCGGCCAGACTTTGCGATTCACGTGTCACCACCTGCCGCTCACCCCATCGCGAGGCCGGGCTGAACCGGCGGACTATCCTGATCTCGGACGCGCTAGGACCAACCCCGCGAAGACGGCGACTAGCGAACGCCCACTGAAAGGACCCTCGGCCACCCCGGACTCGCCGATCCGACGTCCACGTGGCGAGGGTAGTGGTGGTGATCGCGGTTAGTGCACGTTACGACCTTGGCAGCGACCTCGCCGAGTTGCGTGACGCGGTGGTGATCGTTCCGCTCGCAATGTTCCGGTTGCATTGGTTCTGCTTGCGTCGACCTCGATACCGTTTCCATTGTCCCGACGAATCCGCCAACGATATCGCGAATCGAAAGAATCGTCCTTTAATTTTCGCAGCAAAGAAACGACCAATATCGGTCAAGCAGAGAATTATTTATCTCACAATTTTGCCACGTCGATTTTAGTTTAGTTCACGTTTGTCTCTTCCTTAAGTGACAGTTGGAAAGAGGCAAAGAACGAATTAAGCTAAGCTTAAAGCTGAACAACGTTGGTGAAACGGGGCTAATACTAACAATTGTAACTTTATAGAGATTGCTATAATTTGATCTTTTCGTAATTATTGTATAATCTCTTCTCTTCAACGAGGCTGTTACAATTTTATTCATAATTAAAAATAATTATATAATTTCCCCTCTTCTCTTTCTATTTTTTTTGCTTAAGTTTGCGTTTCTCTTTTGTTCCAACGCTCCTTCTCTCTCTCTACTCTCCTCCTTTATCTCAATTTTGTTTTTTTCCCCGTTATGGATTAATTCTTATACGTTTTATTCTCGTTTCCTTTTCCGCTCGCTCTGTCATTTTTCTTTCACCACTTTAATTCCATTCTTTTCCTTCACTCACCTTTCTCTTCTCTTTTTCCAAGATTTAGGTGAGATTCGCGTTGGCACCTCAGTACTTTAGTTATATTTCTCTTCTCACCGCCGCACGACTTTTGGCCTTTCACACAAAAGCGTGACAGTGAGCACTATCAAGGCCGCAGATAAGATTCCGTTAGTAATGGCGATCTCCGACCGCAGACTTCCGGTCATTGCCTACGCCAATTACTCTCACAGTTTATTTAGATTACGTCTGTGATATCATTCGCCACTCTGAGTCGAGAGTTTTACGCAATGTTCGCGATGTTAACAATATCAAAGCGATTTCGCTTTACCCGAACAGGAACGAGGTCAATTGCTTCAATTTTTCACATTGATTGATCGAATTTCTTTAAATTAGATTAATTCAATTCCAACGCGGACTTACGTCACTCCTTTATTTCGAAGCTGCCCGTTTCGTCCTAACGTTTGATCAAGCTCGAGGAGAATCAATCGACTTTCAAGGCACCGGTGTCGAAATATCTCAGCCGCATCGCTCGCAGAATTTGCAATTTGATTGAGGCCAGCCGGGGGATTCGCCAGTCAAAAGTTATTTGTTATTTCAAGTCCCTCGATTACCGGCGCAGTCCCCCCTGGCGTTCTAGTTCGCAGCCGTTAACCAGCATTATAGCGATATCGTGAGTTCGCGTGCAGATAAAACCGCGACAATTAGCATACGTGAGGTCAGCCGATGGACGCGATGAACGCGGGGTACGTCATACCTGCAGTTTCTTGCACCCGTAACGATTGGTTTGCGACGCGCCGCAGGAAAGCTCGCGGAAGTCGCATAATTACACGCGCCAATCTGCGAAGAACGACACGTGTTATCTCTACCGCGAGGGCAAAAAACAAATTTTAATCACCTGCCCAAAGAGGCGTACGATGAGATTTGTCTCGCGCCACTTCGATACCACCGGGCGCCTTTCCGGACGTAAGAATCGAGTCTATCTATCATCTTCAAGCGTTGTAACGAAGTGCGCGAGTTCATTTGAGAGGCAAATATCTCTTTGTCACTCTAATCGGCGAATTTATTTCTGGAATTATTTATAACTTCTCATGTTGCGGCAGTCGGGACAGAATAATGCAGGTTGACCTTCCGATCTCACGCGCCCCTATTTCTTTGAGATAAACGAAGATTGGCAGTGTTCTGACGCCTGGTTTCCTTCGAGCTGTCTCCTTAAAATCTGACATAGAGCAGTATCCGTGAGATTGTTTCGAGCAACACAAGTCCGCATCTGCATCCGATATTCGCCCAAATCGGAAGTGCAATTTAATGAAATCGTGAAATTTATAAATAAAGAAGCAGATAAATGTCAGGAAAGAGTAAAAAATTAAGTGAAGATAATGAAAATTAAAAAGAAATAGAAATTAAACTAACAATAAGATAAAAATAAAAATGATTAGTGGCGTGAGAAATAGACACAAAAAATTGATATGATTACTGTTGTAAGACTTGAAAAAGTTATAAGATTGATTAGAAATGCCCTATCCTGGAATATTCTGCGGACAAACGAATTCGACGACGCCTGCGGATCTCGATTTGCTCGCAAGGAAACACAGATAAAGTCCGTTTCACGGTCTGTTCTACAACTTTTCACTTTAGCGTTTTCAAATTACCTAAGTGATTAGCTTAGATAAAAATAAAACATGTTTAAATGTTTAAAATAATTTGTTTTAAAAAACGGCAGTATCAGCATATACTTGGGAAAGTTTTGGTATTTTTGGAATCTATTTCATTTTACGGTACATTATAAAAATTGGTCTCATTTTATCCTGTTTTCCTAGCGGAAAAAATTTCTATAAATAACTACAAAAAATTGACTCGAAATAGATATTTGTAGAAATTTTTATATCTTCGTTGAAACATTAATTTTTTTTGTAATCTACGAAATAGTATCACAAATTACAATGCTCTCAAATCAAGAAGTTATTGCGAGTAGTATTTCATGAAAATGTACAATTTTGTAAAAATTAGTACAAAACTTTACTAGTTTTAAAGATTTGAGAAATAACAGAAACTTAAAGAATTAAAACATCTGCTTACTGGTAGAATATTACAAAAATTAACAAAAGTGTTTCAACTTTCGCATTTTTATGTTGATTTTTATAACACATTTTAAATTTACGTAGAATTTCTTCGAGTCTGGCAGTTATATTTTATAGTTTTGTAGAATTTTGTAAAAAGGGTCCTAAATGTGACAATCGGTCTTATTATTGCGATCAAGGCGACTTTTTCGGTCGAGTCGGTTTAGACCGATGCTGCGAGGTCAGATAGAGATGAAAAAAGAATTGCTCCGCCGACGCGCGAGGGCCATCGACGGCAAAAGTAGTATAAAACGGTCGCTAACGATCGACGATAATAGATAATGAAAATCCATCCATACGATCTAGTCGCGATGTTTAATCGACATCATCAGTGATTTTTATTGACCGTATCTGGCAATTTTAATAATACAGAAAATTTATTGCGAAAAATATTACTTCAGCCAGGATTTGAACCTGGACCTCCTTTCTCTCTAGGCGGGCGTCTCAAACAATTTGATCATCGAGGCCTTGTTCTTTAATGATGATCATTTTGCAATTTAATTGTTCTTGGTTAAATACAGGGTGTACTAAAACCACCGGATATCCTTTTAATCGCAGATTCCTTAGAAAATTTCAAGAGGAAAATTCTAAGAAAAAAATGTCGGGGCTATGATAGTTTTTAAATAATAAGTGATTATATTTCACAAATGACAGGTCTGAGATTTCGCGCGCTCAGGCACGGCGACATGACGAGTGATAATAGTGTTCCTATGTGTTTCGCGAGCGAGCGAGAACCAAAGTCACCGTTTAACGGGACAGAAAATATTTGGGAAGACGATGATCCGGTTATTTTGAAAACTTGAGGATAAAGAGAGGCAGGAGACTAGATTGAATCTAACTGAAAATTCCAAGTTCACTCAGAATATCGGAGATCGACTAAATCGAAGGATATCAGTCTGATCGAGATGCTCGTCATAGTGAACCCCTCCCTTTTATTAATAAGACGTTACACAAAGTTAACAAAAGAAATGGTTAAAGATAACAAGAGGAACAATTAATTCGAGAATGAATCGTTAAGTCTGTTGTGAAAGTTGTCACTATGCTAAAAAGGGCGATATTCGTAGGAACACCTTTATCACTTGTCGTGTCGCCGTACCTGAGCGCGCGAAATCTCAGACCTGTCATTTGTGAAATGTAATCGCTTATTATTTAAAAACTATTATAGCTTCGACATTTTTGTATTAGGATTTTTGTCTTGAAAGTTTTTAAAGAATTTATGATTAAAAGAGGATATCTGGTGGTTTTAGTACACCCTGTATATGCTCTTTATCACGCGCACTTGTTTTAGTTGCTTTTGGCTCTAACGGCATTATTCTAACATTAATTGTTCATCTAACAATATAAGTTTGTATTATTGATATCGTTAGGATACTAAATTTGTTCTTCTTTTGGATATTTGCTATCGCTGCGAAGATCAAAACGCCCCATATAGCACACAATATTACGTAATATATCAGTAATATTATAATATTGCAGTAATATTACATATTGCAATGTAACATTATTGACATAATACATTTATATAACACATCGCAATATTACATTAATATATTACATAGCAATATAACAGTAATATTGCTGCAATATATCAAATCCAAAGTAGCGCAAGATGATGTCAAATGACCTTTTAATTACGTCTCATTACGTTTTATTACGTCATTAAGATGCCATGAAGACGTTAGTTAATGTCACGTTGCCATTTGGCACTTTCCAATGTATATCGCATTGAAGTATGAATAAAATATTATAAAGGTAATTTATAATATGACGGTAATATAATTATCTTTGAGAGTGTAAAACTTATATCTTAGTAAACATTTTATAGAATCAAATTAAAATTTTTCAAATTTAAAATTATCTACTGTTTGATATTTAATAAATACTTAAATTAAAGAAATGCACGTTTTAATTTGTTTATTATTTTTTAAATTTAAGTTAATAAGCTATTAGGAGCCACCTAATGAATAAGTTTCTTGAGTAAAGTAATATTTTTTGGATTAAGATATTTTTGTATCAGTGCAGTAATATTATAGTGATATATTACAGTAATATTACGTGATACATCACAGTAATATTATTGTGATTATCACAGTAATATTACTACGATTATCTCGGTAATATTTCATTGGGCGGACATTTTAATATTACTGTGATATATCAGTAATATTACAGTAATATTTCTGAAATATTTTGTTGTAATATTACATTGGAAATGTAATATTATGTACTGTAATATTACGTGCTATGTGGGGCGCTTGATTGGCAAACATT